TTTTTTTTTCTGGAGTTCGTTACCTGTTTTTAATTCCATCCCTTAGACTCCACCACGGAACCCAAACGTCAATGACGTTAGAAATCTCTCCACTTTTCACGGCCGATTCGAAATCTTTTCGCTCATCCTCTGTCAGCGCTGACCAAACCTCTTCTGGATCACTGTTTATGTCTATATCTTGGAAGCGTTCCTCTAGATCCTCAGTGTCACAAGTCTCCTCTTCTTTATCTTGTTCCTCTAGTTTCTTCATCATCTCAAGTATTTTTAGCTTGTCTTCTAAACTGCCTTTTTGTTCTCTCAATGCTTGTAAGACGCAATCTTTGTAGAAAAGTTCGGAACACTGCAAGTGTTTATCGCTCTTATAACACGTACTGGAACAGTAACGAACATTACAGCGGGGACACGTGTACTTAGATATTTTCTTCAGGCAAAATGCACAAGGAGAGTTGCTCTCAGAGGGCGAAAGAACGTCCAACAGACGTCCACTAACTTCTGCCATTTTGGATTCCCTGACTGGTTCCCAGTCTTTCCGAGCTAAGATACAAGGCCGAAATTATTTCTGGGAAGCTGCTTTGAAGCTGCTCAACTTCGGAAGGGTACTTGGCAAGTATCAAATGCGGCTGGTAATTATAACGCGTTAGAACGACAAAATGATTGACTCCTACTTTGTTAAGAAAGAATCAAATGGTACCAAACGCAAGCTGGATGAGAAAGAAGAGGAGGAGGAACCTAAAATGAAGGCAAAAGTTGCTGAAAGTCTAAACAACAGCTCCTGTCAAGCTGCTTCAATTTCAAAATTTTCATTTCTTGACAAGGATAGGAAAATGGATCTCCAGTGGAAACACATAACATCAGAAAACTTGAATCTTGATTTTGTGCAGCTCTTCACTAAAACTGAGGCAGATGTTCTCTTCCAAGAAGCAGAGAAAGTTATCAAGTACAATGAAGATAGTAAAGTGTTCGTTCATGGAAAATGGCATAAGGTACCGAGAAAGCAAGCTGCGTATGGAGACACAGGTCTGACTTACACATTCTCTGGTGCAACAGTTGCAGCACAGCCGTGGAGCAATGCTCCCTTTCTTAAATGTATTGGCGACCTGATTTCATCTTTGTCAGGTGGACATAAGTTTAACTTTGTTCTTGTGAATAGATACAAAGATGGTAATGACCACATGGGTGAGCACAGAGATGACGAAGCTGATCTGGTCCCTAGAAGTGTAATTGCATCTGTGTCATTAGGTCAAGCGAGGGACTTTGTATTTCGTCATAGAGATGCCAGAGGAAGTAGAGCCAAGAGAAAGATTGATCCTGTTAAATTTGAACTGTCACATGGGAGTGTGCTGATGATGAATCACCCCACAAATGTTTACTGGTTTCATTCACTTCCTGTGCGAAAAAAGGCAATATGCCCAAGAATTAACTTGACCTTTAGACAGATGGTTGTAAAAAAATAAAAGAATAATAAAAATTTTTTCTTAATTGTCTCAGTGATGTGAATCTATGTTTCTGCATTACAGTTTGACCCTGCTAATTCAAACTTGGTTAATTTGAATAATTTTCCCATTTTGTCAAACTCAAAACCATTTCCATTGTATTTGCCCTTCAGTCATTTACTATCAGTTATTTTGAAATCTGCACAATCAGGAGGTGAGCACACTAACCATGAGACCACCCCCCCCTTTCCTGAGACCACCAGAACTAAAAATCATGACATTTTATCTTCATTTATTTTATATGCACTAATTTTTCCTTCACTATCTGCTGTGTGTTGCTCGTGTGCATCTCAATTCTTGCAGAGCTTGGAATTTCCATATTTTTTAGAATTGCAAAATAGAAATGCAAAGGGCTGCATACATGTGANGGGGGGGGGGGGGGGTGGTACTCCCTTATGTTGGCTGTATTGGTATGTGCTGCCCCAAAGGGTATGGTTTCTCAGCTGTTTTGGTCATAAATAGGGTATTGAGTTTAGCCATTTTAATCATTAATAGGGTCTGGATTTTGCAACTCTATTCTTGAATTGGGCAAGTTTTTTGGAAGAAGTTACTTTTTCTTCATTATCGATGACACCGATCAACAAAAGCCCTTCATGAATCGATCACAGTGCCTTTAACATTGGTCTGCACTAGGGAACTAGGGTCAGGTCCTAAACAGAATATTGAAAATTGTAGAATTTGGTCATAAACAGGGTAAGGGTTTTGGGAAGCGGTCCGCACACCCCCACCCGATTTTTCTCGGAGTACCCCCCTTCCCCGTGATGTGGAGAAAACAAACTTCCTTTGATTTTCTCCCTTTCCGGTGTGACGTCATAGGCTTTTGCAGGTCACCAGCTCTCCACGACTTACGTCAAATAGGAAGAAACAATGGCGGAGCCGCCAGGAGCACATTCACTCAGAGAAGTTGAAATGAATACAGACGATAGATATGGCTTTAGAAGAGAATTTAGAAAACAAAAGTAAGTTTACTCTCGTTGTTATCATTTCTATTTTCTTAAACGATGTTAGTATGGATGGGCTGTTTGCGACGGCAAGTCTTCCTTGGAAGGTCAGATGATTCGATGGAAGCTTGCAAACTAAGGGACCTTTTACAGTAAGCTTTCACATATATATAATTCATGTGCTATGCTCTCACTGAATTTAATTTCAATTAACAATTATAGAATACTATAAAGTAAAGCCAAATCTGAGAGAAAGAGAACATAGCATAGAACACAACATGGCCAGTTTCTATGGTGTTTTGCTTCGGTGGGAAGAAAAACTTGCAAGGATGTGGATCGATCGTTCTTTTTCGAAATGTAAAGCTTATTACATGTAAGCTTATATTTAAATCCCTTTGCGAAGATAAAAAAGAATCTTGCAGAAACCAACACTAGGTTGCAATCTTTTAATATGACTTTGCTTGACAAGTTCAGTCTAACTTTCTAATTCAGTTAGTTGTGTTAATTTACACAAATCCAGATCGTGACAAAAGCGGAAGAACTCCTTCAGGAAGTGGTCCGTCTTTAAAACAAGGGGAATCTTACTCGCAGTGCATATGAAACTAAAGATGTATCTATACCGCTTGGTTTTAATAAAGTCCGATAGTGAGGGCAAGTGATTTACAAACGTTGACACTAAATTTACGACAATTTCTCCAGCGCGAAGTAGTTGTTGTTACTTGCCTTTGATTACATCTGGGTGGAGAGGGAAAACGTGTCAGTGATGTATCAAGATAATAGTCAGGATGGAGTCGCCTACTATCCATTTTTTAGTTACCCTCGTCTCTGGCCATACAGACTCACAAGTGATACAAGTAACTTTCACTCTAGACTTGTAGTGAGCTTGAAATATGTGCTATTGTTATGGAAACTCATTTGAATGTACAGGACTGCATAATTTATCTAGCAGTGAGTGAATATACGTTCAACATCACAACACATTCTACACTTAAAATAAATTTTTACTCTGACACTCTTATCATGTCTCCACAATTTATGCATCCTGCAATATAAGCAAGCTTTTGATTTGCTACATGTACTTACTTTGGGGTGGCAAATGGTCCTTCAGATACTCTGGATCCTCCTATATTTTTTTAGTCAAACTTCACTGGTCTTGCTGTTTTTCCATTTCCTTTCCTTAGGGTCTCTAACTTCTTATTGAAAGCTAAGACACTCTCAGGCTATATAATTTAATCAGTCTTGTTGTTTCACAAAGTCTACAATATTCATTTGAGATAGTCTCTCGTAATTATGCATCAGTCAATTCCAGCAGTGCCCATCCCCCCTGCAGGCTAACCCCCGGGCATTAGCATTTTTTTAAAAAAATGGGCAAATTCCCGGGGGTGGGGAAACATTAGCTGTCTAAATGCCCCGGGGTGGGGATGAAGAAAGAGGGCAAATGCCCCGCCCCCGGGATCGTCGCCTTCCAACACCTCCGCAGTTTTTTAATTAATCAGTGAATAAAACG